CGGAGGATGTAAAATACAAAAAACTTCTGAGTCTGATATATCCCTATATATAAAACACTGAGCTTAATTTTGGGGTCCCTAAAAAGCTTCAGGAAATACATTCTACCCAATTTTCATTGGATAGGGAGGGTTACCTTCACTGCAGGAAATGCTTTGAAGAGTAGTCACACCCAAGCCAATGTACAAATGAGCAGCCTTTTCAGTGGACTGAGTTTATTTCTATCATTTGGCTCCCTCTAATGGGGGAAATAAAAAAAATAGTCTAAAAACGTTATAATCATATGTTCTAGTGAAAACCCATTTTAGAAACATGAGCTTGTAAATATATACATAAGCTTTTGAACCATAATGTAGAAAACAATGATGTACTCGCTCAAAACAGTTCCATTATGCCAAACACATCAAAAATTGCAGATAAATTTCAACATGAAATAACAGAAAATATGCATCAGGCAGCTCTTATTATCCAGAGTGTAAGAGAAGAAGTCTATAATTAAATACATACCAAATTGATCAATGCTTCTTAAAAAGCCTATAAGTGTTCTTCCATCTCTAAGTAGGACCAAGTGTTTTTCTGAGGAGAGGGAAAAAAACAGATCTTTAATATTAAAACCGTCAGCTTCAGTGAGTTTTTAGGATAATAAAGTTAATAGCAGTTTAAGCTGTACTACTTCCTCTGCTAGTGCATTTAAGGTGGAGTTCACTGGAAAAGGGAGGGAAGATAAAAGCCTGGGATTTAGACTAGAAAGTCTGAATTGTCTAGGTAAAAAGAATCAGAGTAGTATAGCAGAGTGGGAAAAGGACAGGGCATGGAGAAACTGACTGACGGGGTCTACATCCTGATGTCTGACACTTAAACCCCTCTCAGTGTCATGTCAGTTTCTACATCTGTAAATTGAGAAACTTAGTCTGGATGATCTTTATATCCTTAATGCTAGAATTATTTTCCTTTTAACTTAAAAAAGAAGAGCTTCTATCTCATGATGTTTGTAACCAGGGAAGGTTTTAAATAAAAACAATGCCTCAGATATTTAAAATAAGGACTGATAATAAACTACAGCAGAAACTCAATAACATTTATAGAGAGCTACGTGCTGTTCTGAGGTCTAGATATACAGTACAGCGTAAGACTTTGAAAGGCACCAACCTTATGAATTTATATTCATGGTGGGGGAAGACAAATAAATTACCTATTGTGATTAGTGTAATGGACTAATAAACAAGCTAGCAGGATATGTGATGAAGGGAGAGGGGAAGTGGTCACAGAAGAGAGGGTGGCAAAGGGAAAACTTCTCTGAAGAGGACTCTGAGCTGATACCCCAAAATGAGAATAAGCCAGTTACTAGCAAAGCCAGCAAAATTTCATCCATTCATTTCTTTAATGCCATGCATAAAGTACTTTCTAGAATGCAGAACAGAGGAACAAGACTAACTCTGCCCTGAAGGAATTTACAGTCTTCCTTGAGCTATAATTATGTACCACAGAAAGCAAATCTTAATTATATAAGATCATATAAGATAATTATATAAGATATATAAGAGAAACTGTATCTAACTGGAGGAAGTACCTGAGTTGTACCTTGAAAAGTAGATAATTTTTGGCCACAAGAACAGTGACAGGGAATGGGAAAGGGGAGAGAAATCTGTAAATTAGGAGGAAAAAAAGGACCATGTACCCGTATGTTTGCTAAAAGTTGAGGGTGTACAGGGAAAGAACAGGAGTCAGAAAGAAAGAAAGTCAGAAAAGTATTCGGGGCAGGCTGAATTTGCATTGTGAAGACAAGGACCAAGAAAACATTAAAGATTGATCTCAAAGAAAAGAGCGGTTATGAGACTATTCCCAGAGTCTGTCTGAGACATGAAGAAACACGAACCGAGGTTGAGATGTGAAGGGAGACGATGAGAGCTAAGACTGTGCAGTTACAAGCGATGGAGTTTACCAACTGACTCTGTATATGTGGTTATGTGTGAGGGTGGGGTGCTCAAGAGGCAAGTTAAAGAAAATGTAGTTTTGAGTCATCATGCCAGGGAGGACTAGTTACCAAAAGCTGGGACTAAAAGGAGCAAGCTCAAGGCAGAGAAGGTTATGGGCACTTTGTGATTCCGAAGTGCTATTAGAACACCTACATATAGGCCGGGCGTGGTGGCTCACGCCTATAATCCTAGCACTCTGGGAGGCTGAGGCGGGCGGATTGTTTGAGCTCAGAAGTTCGAGACCAGCCTGAGCAAGAGCGAGACCCCGTCTCTACTAAAATTAGAAAGAAATTAATCAGACAACTAAAAATATATAGAAAAAATTAGCCGGGCATGGTGGCACATGCCTGTAGTCCCAGCTACTCGGGAGGCTGAGGCAGGTGGATTGCTTGAGTCCAGGAGTTTGAGGTTGCTGTGAGCTAGGCTGATGCCACGGCACTCTAGTCCGGGCAACACAGTGAGACTCTGTCTCAAAAAAAAAAAAAAAAAAAATGTCAGCGGGCAGTTGGAAATAAGAAGACTGGAATGCCAAAGAGGTCAGCATTAGAGAAACCAATTTTGGATAAATCTCCAAAAGGTGATATAATTACTAAAGTCCAGGAGATCTAAAGATTTAAAGAAAGAAGCAGCCCAAACATGCAATCCAAGAGACCATCTACTCTGGGGAACAATAAAAAACCAAAAAGTGCCAGAATAAGAAAATCAGCAAGTACAAGTGTTAGAAAAATCAAGAGAATAAACAATTAAGAATCCAGTGGTGACATTATCACAATGCTGCAGAGGGGAAAGAACTCAGAAGGGTGCTTTAGCCTGATGACTTTTCAGAACACAGTTTCAGAAGTGTGTTGATGACGAAAATTAAACTGCAGGAGTAACGGAAGTGGTCTATTGAAGGTGGTCAGGAAGGAGAATCAAAATGAAGGTTTTGGGGTAATGATGCAGAAAAAGGGATGGGAGTGTGATGGAGACAGACAGTGAAAATATTTGAGATGGGCAGACAATAACATATATGAAAGGACAGACCCAAGAGGAGAGAAAAAGAGGATATGAAAGCAAAAAGATAACAATGGAAGGAGGGTCTGGAAGCAGTGAAGGAGAGAGTAATAACAGACACAAACAGAAAGGGAGGAATACTTGTTACTCAAATGAGGACGGGTGATAATACAGAGGAAAGTATGTGTGTGGGGGGGGTGGAGGAGTGAAGGGTACGTATCAAATGGTTTCAAACTTTTCAGTAAAGGAGGGGGGTCTGGAATCTACAAAGAGGTAGGGGTTAGAGGGCTTGAGAACAAAAACGATATTTAGTAAAATGGCAGGTTGCAAATAACTCAGATATATAAGGAGTGCAAAAGAGCATCATCAAACAACTAAAATACAACATTTCATTACATGTTACGATAGGTTTGCACAGGGTGTATGTATTTTGTCCAATTACACTACATTTCCCTTCTCTAGCAAAATAACTAATTTGGGTTTAAAATATTATCTCAAAAACCATAAAACAAGATTTTAATCATAGACGCACTCTCTAATTTCCATACTCACATTGTAACGGCGGAGATTGTTGTAACTTGTTTGAAACTGTATGTAAACCCTTTTGCAGCATTTACAAGTTAATGAGGCAAATCACACGATTAAAACGATACAAAGGGGGGGGGCAAGGGCAACATACGTAACCTAAACATCTGTACCCCCATAATATGCTGAAATAAAAAAAAATATAAAAATTAAAAAATAACGATGCAAAAAGTTGCTTTAGGAATAATGTGCAGATGAGAATTTAGAAAAAAAGAAACACAGGACAATTTTAAGTGGTTCCTCTTGCTTTCGTATAGGGCCGAGCTCCTCTTCAGGACAATAACTAGGAACTAAGGAGGTCTGCTTAGTAAAGCAGGAGAAAATAGTCTAACAACAACAACAAAAAAATAAGTTTGAAGTGACTTAGCTTTTCCAGAAAAGTCAATACCATGTCCAACAATGGTTTCTACTACCGTAACCTGAAAGTGCTAATGACTCTCATAGTAAAAGATCGCAAATGGCTACACCGTAGAAAGCCTACGTTTACCGCCAATTAAATTCAACTGCTGTTGTCTTAATATTTTCGCTTTCTAATGAATCTTTTTTTTAATTATTCTCATTTAACTACTGGTAACAAACTGGTTCTTCGAAATACTGCAGGTGGGGGACAGTGCACGGGGAAAAGTCCCCTGGGCCACTTCTGTGTTCGGGCCTTCACTGGGGAGACTCGCTTAAGAACGAATTCCACAGCTTGTGGCTCGCTAGCCCGGGGACTAGCAGAGGCTGCGAGGACCAGAAGAGAGAGCAGGCTGGTGGGTGGGCAAGCGCGGTGTCCCGTGCCGTAGAGGACGTCACTGCGGAACACCCCGAACTGAGCTCAAAACACACCGAACCCGCCCGGGACTCATGCTACAAGCTTGTTCCGAAGAGGCGCCCGCCCGGGAGGAAGGGTCTCACCCCGAGCTTCACTGGGAGGAGGTGAACTACTCACTGTCGATGTCCTCGATAAGGCTGGCGGTGCCGGGCATATAGTTCATTTTGAACTGAAATAAGGCTGCAATGTATAGCGGTGGTGGGCCAATGTGTCCCAAACTTCTTCCTCCTACCGCAGTCGCCGCCTTGGCGGGACCGGGACAGGAATCCCGACCGGGACCAGCACTTCTGCCCCGGCTTTCAGTTGCCGGGGCCTACCGGAAACTCCTCCATATTACCTCCACCCACTTCCGGTATCACGTGCTGGTCCTCAGGAAGAGGCGGGACAGTCGTGTGGTCTGGAAACACCCATTCCGCGTCCCTGATAAGTGGGGAAGAAGAATCTAGATTGGATAGATGGTGAGGAAATGTATCCTCCCTTTTAGGGAGCGCGGTGCTTCCCCTCGCTTCCCTGCTTCCGAGATACCAGAGTCACGGACCTCCCTTAACGCTCGGGGTTCGGCAGCCGAGGGTGCGGGACCGGGCCTGGGATTGGCTGTTGTCGTCCGACGCCCTTCCCTGCTCTCCAGTCTCAGTCGCCCGCAGGCGCCTGCGCAATGGGCCGGCCGTGGGGGGGGGCGGGAAGCGCTTCGGGGCAGCGGAGCCCATGTCGGCCCTGAGGCGCTCGGGCTACGGCCCCAGTGACGGTCCGTCCTACGGCCGCTATTACGGGTCTGGGGGTGGAGATGTGCCTGTGCACCCACCTCCGCCCTTATATCCTCTTCGCCCCGAACCTCCCCAGCCTCCCATTTCCTGGCGGGTGCGCGGGGGCGGCCCGACCGAGACCACTTGGCCGGGAGAAGGCGAAGGGGGAGATGGCTACTATCCTTCCGGAGGCACCTGGCCGGAGCCAGGTCGAGCTGGAGGAAACCACCAGGTAAGCTTTGCACTATCTGTCCAGGGGGATCCGACAGCGGAGCCTGGAGGAGGTGAGGGCCATGGGGTTGATATACCTCTGGGTTCGTAATGGATCGGGTTTCATATTTGTTTTCCTCACGGGAGGGTGTTGGAGAGACTGAGGCTGGGATCATAGGTGGGAGGATATGCTCGTTCCCTTTGCTCCTCCTCTTCGGCTTCGACCACAATAAATATGACTGTTACCGTTTAAAAAGGGAAAAAGATCCTGTGGTGACTGACCTAAGCTTAGGAGCGGGTGCGGGATCTCTCTGGGAGCGATGCTGGGCTGGGGTGACGCGGCTCCTGTGCTCCTCGAGCTCTGACAATTTATCCTGCGTGGCTCGGCAGGTCGGCTCTCCCCGAGAAGGGAGGTGGCTGCAGCCCCCGACGTCGCTCGGCGACCGCTCCCGCGGGGAGGGAACCTGAATGAGGGGGAGGGATCTTGGCATCTAACCCTTTGCCCCTAATGCTTTGGCTGGGATTGAATCGTGAATAATTGATGTTGTAAAGCGCTTTTACGTGGATTGATTTATTTAATCTTCACTGCGACTGCAAGGTAAATGTCATCATAGAATCCTTATTTTCGAATAAGGAACCAGAGGCTCTGAGAGGATAATTCACGTGCTTAATATACTCGGACCTGTAACATTTTATTCCTGCTGGACATATACTTCTGTTTGGTTAATGCAGTATGGTTTATACGGTGTGATGGTACACTTCTCTTTTTGTTCAGGAATCATAACATCCTCATTTGTGGTTTGGTTTTTTTTTTTGGGGGGGGGCGGGTGAGGCAGTTTCGCTCTGTTGCCTGGGCTAGAGTGCGGTGGCGTTAGCCTAGTTCACAGCAACCTCGAACTCCTGGGCTCAAGCGATCCTCCTGCCTCAGCCTCCCGAGTAGCTGGGACTACAGGTGCGCACCACCACGCTTGGCTAATTTTTCTATTTTTAGTAGAGATGGGATCTCCTCTTACTTAGGTTGGTCTCGAACTCCTGACCCCAAGGGTTCCTCCCGCTTCGTCCTACCAGAGTGTTAGGATTACAGGCGTGAGCCACCGCGCCTGGCCACACATCCTCATTTGTTGAAAATGTAGTAGTTAAATTCTCATACATTGCTGGTGAGAATGTAAAATGGTGCAATGCTTTGGAAAATAGTTTGTCAATACCTCAAAACGTTAAGTGTAGAGTTAAGCATATGACCCAACAAATCCACTCCTTGGTATATACCCAAGAGAACTGAAGATATGTCCACATATTAAGAAAACTTGTACACGCATGTTCATAGCACCATTATTCATAATAGCCAGAAAAATAGAAATAACCCAAATGTCTATCAAGTGATGAATGGATAAACAAAATATGGTATAATTATACAATAGAATGGCCATAGAAAGGAATGAAGTACTGACATATGCTACAGTATGAATGAACTTTGAACACATCATGCTATGTGAGCAAAGCTAGTCACAGAGACTGCATATTGTATGATTCTGTTTATGTGAAATGCCCAGAGTAAGCAAATCTGTAGAGAAAGATTAGTGTTTGCCAGAGGTTGTGGACTGGAGGTGTAAGGGAGTTTCTTTTTGAGATGTTCACAATGTTCTAAAGTTAGTGCTGATGGTTACGCAATTCTGAATATACTAAAAACTACTGAACTGTACACTTTAAAAGGGAGGGTTTTATGGTATGTTAATTATGTCTCAGTTATCTGGAATAAGTAGGCCATGGGACTTTAATCCCATGGCAGAATGATGAAATGCTTGGCCAAGTTAGACCAAAGATCAGTTGAAAGGAAGGAGGAGAGGACCTCTAAACTGATGACTTTGTTGCGCTTGCTACTGTATTATCAAAACAAAAGTGTGTTTTCTGGGGTAGAGTAGGGAAGGGGTTGGATAGACTAGAGAAGTTAAAATTTTAGCATTGTGTAGGGAATTGTCAGGTATGGTTGGAGTGCAAGTGTGTGCATAGGGTGGGTGATGATGCTGGAGTAGTTGAGTATAAAGCCGGACTTGTGTAAAGGGCATTTGTAAACCATTTTAAGAGTTTTTACTTTATTTTTCAGGTTGATGATTCTGAAACTTTAAGAGTTTGGGATGATAATTTCTTATGCAGCAGTAGAAAACTAATACAAAAGATGCCAAGCACAACGGCTCATGCCTGTAATTCCAGCACTCTGGGAGGCCAAGGCAGGAGGATCACTTGAAGTCGGGAGTTCAAGACCAACCTGGGCAACGTAGTGAGACCCTGTCTCTACAAAAAATAAAAAAATTAGCTGGGCATGGTGGCATGCACCTGTAGTCCTACCTATTTGGGAGGCAGAGGCAGGAGACTTGCTTGAGCCCAGGAATTCCAAGTTACAGTGAGCTATGATTGCACCACTGCACTCCAGCCTGGGAATGAGACTGTGTCTCAAAAAAAAAAAAAAAAGATGACTAATACAAAAGATATGCATGCATGTTGTCACAGGTGTTGCAAATTTGTTTTCCAAATTCATTGTTTTGATTTTATTGTATTTTACATATGTTTTATATTTTCGTATTACCAAATGTGTCAAACTGAAAAAAAAGCATAGGAACCTTCTAAAACCTTGCTACTCAAAAACTATTGTCCATGGACCAGAAGCTTCTCTGTCACTTGTGAGGCTCTTAGAAATGCAGAATCTCTTCTCTTCCGACTTAACTGCTGCAATTTATTAAGATCCCCAGGTGATTCATATGCATACTAATGTTTGGAAAGCACTGCTCTATAGAATCGGTTATGGTTATAGGTTATATTGAGATGTGTGTTGCACTGAGCCACAACATAAACTTGACTACATTAACATATTTAAATATAGCGGGGAAATAATTGGAAATCTACCACTCTCTCCTCTTTTTTAAAGAGTAAAACTTTTCTTACCTTTTTAGTTATAGCACTGTGGTTTGATCCCTGAACTAGCAGCATCTGCATTACCTAGGAGCTTGTTGGAACTGCCGGATCTCAGGTCCTGGCCCAGATCTACTGACTTAGAGTGTGTGTTTTAACAAAATCCCCAGGTGATTTACACGTTTCCCCAGAACAAGTCAACCGAGCGAGCATGCCAAGGCAGAAGCCACAGTTTCTCATAACCTAATCTCGGAGATGATGTACCATCACTTCCACTGTGTACTGTTTGTCATAGAGACCAATCTGGTACAGTGTGGCAGATAATTTAACAAGCCCAGGATTACCAAGAGGCAGGGATCATTGGGAGACATTAAGGAGGGTGTCTACAACAGGAAGGAATCTGAGACAGCTCAGTTGGGCTCCAGAGTAGTTCAGAAGAGAGGTAAAAAGGGCATGCATTTGAGCAATGTCTGAATGTAGAGATTTTTTTTTCAACATTTTACTGTAAAAATTTTCAAACACAGAGAAGTTGAAGGAATTATAAGTGAGCACATATATATATATATGCGCATATTTTTTTCTTTTGGTTAGCAGTTTATTATATTTGCTTTATCAGATATTCGTCATATTTTTTGGATACATTTTAAAATAAATTGCATAGATTTGGAAGACATTTTCAAAGTTAGAATGATTAGTAGGAGGATAATATCAATTGGAAGTGAGGGATATGGGAGAGAGAGATAGATGGTTCTCCGAGGATTTAGTATTTCACATACATAGGTATAAAAAGGAGGAGGAACAGGTTTTTATGGGGAAATGACGGTTTAGTTTTGTACCAAAAGAACTAATGATTGGTTATGAGAGGAACTTCAAAAAAATACAAAGACTTGGCAAGGGTTTATGTGTTGCCTTTTTTCATTTCTGATGGAAGCCAGTTAGGGTGGTTATTGGTGCCAAGCTCTGGATGCAGTGTATGGGATTGATTAGAGAGAGGTATGTGATTTTCTGCTTTTGGTTTGATTTTTTAATGTTGAAATTTAGTCTTTGTGGCATTCAGGTGTTTTGTCTGTGGCAACAAAACAATAGGTGGACTTGGAGGGGAGGTGGGGCATAGAGATAGTGATTTGAGAGTCATCGAATATAAGCATAACTGGGTCACCAAACTGGGCAGAGTTTGTTGCTGTGGGGAGATCTTTTAGAGTCTAGAATAAGGGATAGAGAAAGAGAATCCAAAAGAACAATGAGAGAGAATACCTGAAAGACAGGAGAACCAGGAAAGTTGTACAATGCAAACCAAGCAAGGACACAATTATTTTGGAGGTAAGCAAGATGAGAACTGGAAAGAAACTGTTGGGGCCATTTGTGGTGGTTCACAGTTGTAATCCCAGCACTTTGGAAGGCCCAGGTGGGAGGACTGCTGTAGGCCAGGAGTTCAAGACCACCCTGAGAGACATAGCAGGACTCTGTCTATACAAAAAATAAAAAAATATTATCCGGGCATGGTGGTGCACACCTGTGGTCCCAGCTGTTCAGGAGGCTGAGGTGGGAGGATCTCTTGGGCCTAGGAGTTTGAGGTTGTGGTGAGTTGTTATCATGCCACTGCACTCCAGTCTGGGTGACAAAGAGAGACCCTGTCTCTAAAATTAAAAAGAAAAAAAAGAAAAAGAAAATAACCTGTTGGATTTGGCAATTAAAAAGATATCGTTGATTTTAATGTTGTGAGTTTAAAATAGTATTAAAGTAATGAATGGGAGATTTGGATGAGAAGATAACCAGTGGAAACTGTATTTCCAGAAATTTGTTTGTAAATGAGAAAGTCATCATTTACCTGAGAACCAGGGTTTAGGGACGGATTTTTAGCTTTAGGTAGCTTGAGTGTGTTTGTAAGCAAAGGAGAGTGAGCTAGTAGATTCAGAAAAAAGATGCAAGCAAAAGGGTGGAGTATGGCTTGGGGAAAATGGGATTAAGAACTGAGGAAAAGAGTTGAGAAACCCCTTCTGAGCCAGAGGAGAAAAAAGTCTAAGTTTGGAGTTGGAAAGGAGGCACGTTGGTGGAGTTTACAGTTTATTGTCCTTTGTTGGTGGATAAAAGGTTAGGTCATCTAAGAGTAAGGGAAGT